GGGCCTTCAAATTCTCCTTCTTATGATTTCTACATATTTTTCTTCTTATGACGTCTATATATTGGTAGGTCGTCCTGGCTTCAGGTCTTCATAGTTGTGGGCTTCGAGTCTACGGGGCATCCGAGGGTTGGAGGCTTCACATGGGCTGCAGAGCTGATGAGCGAAATCTCCGAAATGGCAAGCGTTAAGGCTCGCAACACCCATAAAGGTAAGCCGTAGAATGTTGTCAGGAGTTGGTGAAGCACCTCGAGGCAAAACTTGGCGGTGAGCTTCGGCGGCTGCATCCAGCAGGCAACGACAAGGCTCTATGCAAGGGTTTTGGGGTTGCAAATCTTGAGCCCTAAACCCTAAACCACCCAGCAGGTTCCTTTGTTGTGTGCATATATTCCTTGTTCGGTTTGCGGGGCAGGACGCGGAAATTTAGGGATGGGGTAGGATAGCTTTGAATGTGTTGTGTCGGGCATAGGGGCAAGGAATATACATGTGTGGTTTTCAGAGGTTGTTGAATTGATCTGACCGTTGGAAGATCCATTTCACGTGCTACCAAACTCCACTAACTGGCAAGCCCTTACGGTGTCACCAACCCATTCCAATTGTGCATAAATCTGCACAATGCCTGGGCCAGAGCTTTGCCACTTTAGGCCCCGAGCCGTGATCCAAACCCCCGCCCAGGGACTCATCAAGCTCATGGCAAGCCCTATAATTACTTTAGGGTTTAGGGTTTAGGGTTACTTGTACAGCCGCAATACATGTCTTGGGGTCCGAGCATGTATTTCATGCAGTGGTCTCGGGTGTTGCAGATTTTGCTCGTAGTGTCTTTTCCGCAGCAGCATTTTTTGAATATAAACGCATTGGACCGCCCCCCTCTACACAGCAGGTTACTGTGGCACTGTGAAGAGATCAAATATGTGGATCCTCCGGAAGATCTGGGCACGTGTCCGTGCTCCAAGCGCGAAAACAGACAGTCTTCATGTGTTGCATCCGGTTGTGCTATAGTCACAAAGCTCAAAAGTTACGGCATGAAACCGACTCCTTTTTGTTTTTTGCATTTGTACGACGATGTTCAGCCGAACCATGCATACATAGGTGCGTGTGCATGCCAAGATGCGTGGCAATAGGGTGTGTATGGTTTTACGTATATGATATATCCAGTACATGTATATGTACTTGCACGTATATATGTATATGTACATGTATATGTATGTGTATGTGCATATAGATATGTGTATGTATATGTTCTTGTGTATGTATGTGTGTGTATATATATCTGTATGTGTGTATATGTTTATGTGTAAGTGGATACGGATATGTATATGCATATGGATATGTGTAAGTATACGGATATGTACATGTATGTATATATATATATATATAAGTACATGTACATGTACATGTATATATAAATGTGTATGTAAATGTATATGTATATGTACATGTATATGTATGTGTGCATGTACATGTATATGTATATGTATATGTACATGTATGTATGTATGCACATATATATGGTGTACGTGCATGTGTATGCGTATGTGTATGTGTATGTATTTGTGCATGCATGTGCATATGTATATTATGCACGTGTATGTTTATGTGTATGATTGTGTGCTTGTGCTCATGCACATGTATATGTTCATGTATGAACATGTATATGTTCTTGTATATGTTTGTGTGTATATGTATATGCGCATGTACATGTATATGTATATGTAATCGTTTCCCCCTAGTTTAAAAACTGATTTCCGGGACTTTGTTTTAATATTGGGGGGGGTTCGGTGCATCCACGTATGAGTCGGGTTGACAGTAATTCGAAGCCCTGAACCTCGAGCCCTAGACCCTGAAGCCCGGAGCCGTAAACTTTGAGCCCTAAACCCTTCAACCCTAAAGCCCTGGTCTCTTCGGTTGGAGGAGTACAGCTGTAATCTTCGGCTCTATTAAGACTCATACAATCCTAGCCCCCCCCCCCCCCCTCCGTAATGTTTTTTAATCAACTTTCAATTGTGGGCCCGAAGCCGTGATATTCTGGGGCCCGGGAGTGTTTTACATTAGGGGGTTAAATAATAATGGGAAGCGAATAATTGTAAATGCTTAGGTTGAGGTCGAGGTCGCGGTCAAGGGTAGAGGCAGAGGTATAAGTATATGTATGCGTATGCATGTATGTATATGTACATGTAGATTAGCATGTACACGTTATGTATGTGTATGTTTAAGTCTACGTCTATGCATATGTACATATACATACTGCCTATGTGTATGTGCATGTGTATACTGTATAATTGAGTATATGCATGTAATATGAGTATATATATATACATATAAATTTGTGTATGCATCTGTATGTTTATCTTTATCAAAACCAAAAACTCATTACCTGTATATCTATACCGTTTTGCTCCTATGTGTATGTAAATGTGTCTGTGCATCTGTATATGTATATCTTTATCTTGATGTACATGTATAGGTATAGGCATACACACACACACATATATATATATATATATATAAGTATACATACGCACAAGCACGCAGACATATTCATCTTAACATAGGGGATCGCTGTGGATCAAACACTGTGTTGGCTTTAAGTGTCAACTGTTAGCCTTTTGTCAGGCACGAAATCCACCAAACGCTCCAAACAACAAGCAACAACAGGGCCGAACAAAGATTCCGTATGGACCGTGTTTCGTGGGTAATTCAGTTTCAAAGCTTAGGGTCTGGAGTCTGGAGTGTGCAAGGTTTCGGGCTTCGTGTGAAGAGCACTGAGCCCAGCCCCCCTATCAGTGGGATCCTGCTTCAGGTTGCTCTCTACGACAGATCCCAGGACTGTACAACGAGAAGTTTTGGGGCTTCGCTTGTTAGTTTGGTTCAAGGTCCAAGATTCAAAATCCGAGGGTTCAGCGTTTGCGGTGCTGGGTCCAAAGGTTTTGGGGTTTGGACTCGGTTTGGACTGATTTGGAGTTCAAGACCGTTCTTAATTGCTATACAAGCGCTGCCGAAATCCATGCTAAACGTGCGGGCTTGCATCATTTACCTCATGCAGACCTTGGTTTTCCGGTGTTTGGATTACAAGGTTGTGGGGCTTCAGAGGTCGTGTTTTAGCCCGCAGGCCCCATGTGTTATTATGGTATATACCAAGGTGGTTCGAAGTACACGTACAGGAGCCGCCTTATTGTAGGCGAAAGTATTACTAACTCAGGACATGATTCTGTAAACCTTGCATGAAAGCTAGTAAGACCCGAATCAAAACAGTCCAAACCTCAATCAGGGCCTCCATCCCTACCTGGCCTATAACAAAGGGACACCCAACAGAATCTTCTAGTTGGATCTTCACTACAGGGACACCCAATTACCGCCAAACCGCCAAACACTGAACGCTAATTCAAGAGATTCTGTCTTTTCGGCCCTTTACTGCAGGCCCAGATGCTGAACTGGAAGATTGAAATTGCTGGGGGCCAGGCGGGCGTCCGGCGCAAGGTTTTATCTAGGGGCCTCCCTAAACCCTAAACCCTCAGTAATTGGACTGGAGTGTCGAGGTATATGTTTTGTGTGTCCAGGGAGCCCTTTACAAATCACATTGCTATGTATTCCGACCCCTAGAGTATGTCTGATTGGGTCTCGGTCGAGCCATTGTGGCTTCGCGCTTAAACCCAGAACCATGGACGCGAAATCGAGCATATGCTTCTACGGACCGATTACTGCAGGGCTGGACAACACAACAAACGAACGTCTCGCGTTCCGCACAAATCAGGGCTCTCGTCCAGCAGCCTCTATGTAGATGCAGGATCCTTCTATCAAGGCTCTACTGTTTAGATTCTCTGACGTTTCCGACCCTCCATCCACTCCACACCCAGCAAACACTTCAAAGGCTGAATGACTGAGAAGTTCCCGATGCAGAAGCCCTTATCCCTGCACCTGTAAGCCTTAATCCTATAGCAAGAAGCCTTAACCACCCTACAGCAGTAGGAATTAGGATCATTGGCGGGCGCAGGTTACAAGGTTTCGTGCTTTTACTACCACGACGAAGACTACTACTGCTACTACTTGCCACTTCGTACTCTGCTCTACTACTACTACTACTACTACTACTACTACTACTACTACTACTACTACTACTACTACTACTACTGCTACTGCTACTGCTACTGCTACTGCTACTGCTACTGCTACTGCTACTGCTACTGCTACTGCTACTGCTACTGCTACTGCTACTGCTACTGCTACTACTACTGCTGCTACTACTACTACTACTGCTACTACTACTACGACGACGACGAATACTATTGTTATTTATGCCGCTACTACTTCTACTTCGACTTCTACTGCCACTACTGCTATTATTGCTACTACCGGTACTACTGCTACTACTACTACTACTACTACTACTGCTACTACTGCTACTGCTACTGCTACTGCTACTGCTACTACTACTACGACGACGACGACGAATACTATTGTTATTAATGCCGCTACTACTTCGACTTCTACTGCCACTACTGCTATTATTGCTACTACCGGTACTACTACTGCTACTACTACTACTACTACTACTACTACTACTACGACTGCTTTCACTACCGCGACGACCTACTACTGCTACTACGACTACGACGACGACGACTACTACGACAGCTACCACGAATTCCTGCTGCCGCCACTACTGCGACTACTGCTACTGCTACGGCTGCTGCTGCTACTGCTGCTGCTGCTACTACTACTACGACTACGACTACCAGTGCTACAACTACTCATCAGCAGTAGCATGAGCAGCAGCAGCAGCAGGTAGAGGAATAGCAGCAGTAGGCGTCATGATGAAGTGTGCATTGCAACATTGAGATCGCTGTCGCCTGTGAAGCCATTTTGCCACGATCACAGTCGTCGTACAGCTCTTTAGCTTCCCAGTGTTAGTATCCAAGCTTTAAGGATTAGGTTTAGGGTTCAGGGCTGCACGTGATTGCTGCTTCCGCAGAGTCCTGCGCATCTCACCCATTGTAGTTGACGCCATGTTGTCTGGTGGACGCCGTTTGGCCTTTCGGGGCTTGCCTCCCGCAGCTGTGCTTTGCCCAGGGCTTCGCGTATTTCCGACCGCTGGGTTTAGCTCTGGCACTCCGAAGGCCGGACCAAGGAATTCGAGTTACATTTAAGGCCGTGCCTGTGTCTGAAGTTCGTTCAAAAAACGAGAACAACCGTTAAACAAGCACAGAAACACACTTTCAGAGCAATCCTTGAAAAAGCACCAACACCACGGAAGGTGTTTGCACCACCGTTGGCGGCTTGCGAGTGGTAGTCGGAAAATAGAGGTAGATTCCTTGATGAAGCCTTGTCCTGCTGCGCACTGGTGATGGCTCATGCAACGTTAGCAATGCAACGGGCTCAGAATCGAGACCCGAGCTTATATAAGGAAAAAGTTTACATTATCCTACGCCTATCTTTGGGGCTATTGGGGAGTTGGCGACAGCAAGCAGTACGATTCACTGGATCCTTATGGCCTGAGGGGATGCTGTCCGTGTATCAATACGAAGGGACGCTTTCTGACATATACCGACCATCAGCAAACGAAGGTTGCTTGCAGAAGAATATTATCAGGTACCATTCTACACTTGCATAGTAGGGGTTGGTCTGGACAGCATGTAACCTTCTCGTATGTAGGATTCTGGCGAACGTGAGGAGAGAGAAGCCCGAAATATTTCTGAATTCGAAGGAACCTCGAACTATTTCTAAACTCGAAACGGAGGTGCGAAGAGAGAAAGACACCTTTGGCGACATCGATGTGCCAGCAGAGAAGTACTGGGGTGCCCAAACTCAGCGATCGCTCCAGAACTTCGAAATCGGCGGAGACCGCGAGAGGACGGTTTCCGAAAACAGGGGACCCCTACATATAGTACCCTAGATAGTATGTAGGATCCTAGATAGTATAAAGGATCCTAAATAGTATATAGTATCCTAAATAATAAGTATATAGTATCCTAGATCGTATTTAGGATCCTTATTACCCTTCGAAGTCTTGTGTTTGTTTTTTGGTGGTGGGTTAGCTTTTCGGTCTGATGGTTTTTCACATTTGAGTTCAGGGTTTAGAGTTTGCGGCGCAGACGTTTGTTTTTTGGTTGAAGCCCCAAACCCTAAACCCTGAAAGCCCTAAACCCCTAAAGGCCCTAAACCCCTAAACCCTAAATACTAAACCCTCAAAATCCTAAACCCCTAAACCCCAAAGCCCCAAACCCTAAACTGCACTGCAACCCTACACCCTAAGCCCTAAAAATCCTAAGCCCCTAAACCCCAAAGCCCCAAACCCTAAATTGCGGAGGATGCCTCCACAAGTGATCGAGGCAATGGCTGCTCTCAAGCAGGCTGCTGCCCAGGTCCCGCGCTTAAGGCGTCAGAAGTCTTACCCTAAGGGTACATTGGGGTCCTTATAATAAGGATCCTACTATTTAGGGTATTATATTAGGGTCCCTTTTACATGGCCCTAAGGGTCCATGTACCCATATAGAGATACATGGGCCCCAATGTACCTATATAGGGACTACATTAAGGCCAATGTATATACTATATGAGTACATGGACCCTTAGGGTTAGGAATGTAGGGTTTAAGGTTTTAGGGTTTAGAGGAGAGTAAGGTTTAGGAGTGTATCGGGTTTAGGGTTTAGGGGTTCTTCAGAATCTCAGTGTGTGGTGCCGAAATATGCAACCCTAAGCCATAAACCCGAATCCCTAAAGTTGAAGCCCTGTAGACCGTAAGCCCTGACGTTCTGTCTTTGACTACACCGTCTTGTCGCATCAGGGCTACTTGGGGCTTCCGTGTCAGTCGAACGCGAACCGTAAAAGTTACAAATCCCGAACCACGAACCTTGCATCTGCATAGATATTGAAACCCTTAACCCAAGACCCTAACCTCAAGCCTAGGCCCTAAGCAAACACCTTGCACTTTAGACCAAAAACCACGCGTGGAGAGCCTCCGCACATACTTAGTTCTAAGTGGGGATAATTATACCTACAAACCTTATTAGCGGACTTACAGCCCTACCCAGAGGGTCCAAGCACTCCTTATCATAGGACCTCAGGGCCTGTTTAGGTATGAAAACACATGAATAAGGACTAGTTGAACCTTTAGGGCTACTTATAACTATAGTAGTTCCTTTTCGGGATTACCTTATCGAGTTCTTATATGATTTTACAACAAGGAACCACCATGGAGCCTCTGGGTACCCAAGAACCTCCTTTATAACTAACCTTATACCCTACCTAACCCTGAAACCCTAATGAACCTCCGCAACGTAGAGGTCAACAAAGACTATGGGCTTCCAATCGATGTTGCTGATGCTATCATCCAGGACTGGGTTTCGGTGTTTGGGGTGTGGGGTTTAGGGGTTTACAGGGTTTAGGGGTTTAGGGTTTCGGGGTTTATGGTTTAGGGTTTAGAGGTTTAGGGGTTTACAGGGTTTAGGGGTTTAGGGATACCGAGTTGCGAGTTCAGGATTCGCGCTTCGTTGGGTCAGGGCCGTGGTCAAGGGTTCATGGGCTGTTTCCCTAAGGGTCCATGTACCCATATAGAGATACATGGGCCCCAATGTGCCTATATGGGGACTAATTACATTAAGGCCAATGTATATACTGTATGAGTACATGGACCCTTAGTGTTTGGGCTTTGGGTTGGGATACGTTGTGTGCCGTGACAACTGTTGGTGTTTGATGGCTTATGTTCGGGATCCCATTGAATGGGTGATGTCTTCATGGAGCCTGGGTCTGCAGTGTAGTACTCCGTTGGATCCTGGTTTACAGACCCCCTTGCTTTGGGAAGATGAACGCTAAACCTAGCAGAAGCCCTTTCTTTGGGAAGATGGGCCGAACAAAATTCGAATCTCAATCGGATGGATCTCGCAGCTGTAGCCGCTCTACTGGTCTACTTCAGGGGCCTTAGTAATGACCTATACTCTTTTGGGGATTCCGAAAAATAAATATAGTATATATAATGGGCGCTGAAACCCTACATATTCTAAAAACAGAAAGCAAAAGGCCCCGATATTACTGTCGATGTGGGGGTTAGAATGAAGGCTCCGACGATCTCCAGCCTTTGCACTCCTTCGTGCTTTTCTTGGGTCGGGCTAACTATCGATAGGTTTAGGGTTCAGGGTTTAGGGTTTAGGATTCCTTTGTAGTCCCTTTGTAGGCTTAGACGTAAAGTATACCCCAAAACTGATTCGAGAGTTTGAGTTGGAGACGACACCAGGCTGCAGACGAGGTTCGCACGGGCAAGCTGCACGACCATTTCCCTCTCGTCGTGTGGCAGACGGGAAGTGGTACACAGACAAACATGAACACCAACGAAGTTATCAGCAACCGTGCCATCGAGATTTTGGGCGGGGAGCTGGGTAGCAAGTCACCGGTGCATCCCAACGACCATGTCAACCGCAGTCAATCGTCCAACGACACCTTTCCAACAGCCATGCACATTGCCGCGGTGCTCGCACTGCAGAAGCGCACACTGCCTGGACTGCGCCGCCTGCATAAAACTTTGGAGCGCCAAGCGAAGGAGTATGACGACATCATCAAGATTGGACGCACCCACACTCAGGACGCAACACCTCTGACCTTGGGCCAGGAATTCAGTGGCTATGCAACGCAAGTGGAGTACAGCATTGCTCGAGTGGAGTCCGCTTTGCCACGCCTCCGCCAGCTTGCTCTGGGTGGCACTGCTGCTAGGTAGGGCTTTGGGACATTTTATATTTTCCCTTATTGGGCTTAAGAGGATCTTATTTACTAGTATTTTTTCAAAGGCCTTAAAAGCCCCACCTAGGCTGTGGGCACGGGCCTCAACACCTACATTGGCTTTGCCGAGCGTGTTGCCGAGGAGGTCGGCCGGATCACCGGTGAGGAGTTCCTAGGCCTTTGGGACATTTTATATTTTCCCTTATTGGGCTCTTAATAGGACCCTAAACCCTAAACCCTAAACCCTAACCGTGTATTTGCGAAGATTTTTCAGAGGCTCCAAAGGGCCAACTTAGGTTCGTGTCGGCCCCCAACAAGTTCGAGGCCTTGGCTGCTCATGATGCCGCTCAGCAGTTGAGCTCCCGGGATTTGGTGAATGTAGACGTCGGAATAGTGAGTATATACTACTTTTGAAAATAGCATCTCCTTTCTGTTCCGGTGCAAGTATGTCATAGTATACCCCGAAACCACATACAAATTAGGTATCCAGGCTTATGTATCAAGGCTCCCGTCTGGGACCACTACTCCACATCGCTACATGGTGAACTTAACCCCATCAGGGCGGTACCATCCCGAGGCCCTACTGCACGCCACTTTGGTCCACGGAACCCTGAACAAATCTGAGAGTTCCCGAAGAAGATAGCCTGCTAAAGGAGCCGAAATGCTAGGATCCTCAAGATGTTGATCCCTAAACAGGGACCTGGGCTTAGGGTTTCTGAAAGTGCCATGTTCAATCTTCAAGGCCGTGGTAGAGGCATCTGGGGCTTTGAACACTGTGGCGTGCTCTCTGATGAAAATCGCCAACGATGTGCGACTTTTGGGATCGGGTCCCAGGTATCTTGCCTCAATTGGGTTTAGGGTTTAGGGTCTTACACTTTGGACTTGGTGAGTGTGTATAGGGCCGTTCTTGAGCACTGGTGGGTGTCTGTATTTGGTATGTAGCTTGGGGCTACTGGGCTTGCGGAGTTCAAGGTTTAAGGAGTTAAGGTGTAGGATAGGTCCGGCTATGTATGAAGGCGATTATGATCATACCTCGTTTCTATCGGTTCTTGTGACTTGGGCCTTGAATCACTGGCTTTGGGCGTTATGTGAGCTTTTTGACGCCGCGGGTACAGTATGGGCTTTTAGTACGGCAATTTGTTTTTCGTTGTTCTGAGTTATTCCTGCGTGAGGGTTTAGGGTTGGAGTGTAGTCTGTAGGATTTTCCAATAGGAAAGCCACTGTTCGTGAAGTTGTGATGGTGGTGATGGCGGTGGTGGTGGTGGTGGTGGTATTGGCGGTACTAGTGGTTGTGGTAGAGTAAGAGGGGAGACGATTTGGAGGCGGAGGAGCAGGAGCAGGAACAGGAGCAGGACTAGCAGCAGCAGTGGTAGGCTGATCTTCGATGATTCAGTCATTGCATACTGCTTAGTTTTGAAGTTCTCGGAAAGGGGCTTTGGTGTTGCTGATTGCGGTTCCGGGTTTCCTGGAATCCCTTACCCTAAGGGTCCATGTACCCATATAGAGATACATGGGCCCTGATGTACCTGTATAGGGACTACATTAAGGCCAATGTATATACTATATGAGTACATGGACCCTTAGGGTTATAGCCTCTGTGCAACTGCCCAAGGCCCAAAAGGCCAGCCCAGTACGAGCCGTAAACCGAATTCTCAAGCCTTCGATGAAGACCGAGAGCCTCGACATTTACCCCACCCCTGAGACCCCAAACCCGACACTCTACGCCCAGCGTGCTAAGCCCTCTATCCACCTATCAATATCAGTATGTATATATATATATATATGTATATATATTTATACTTATATTTTTATTTATATACAGATATATCAAAGCAAGGTGTGGCTTGGGTGAGCTGCTTCTCCCAGAGAACGAGCCGGGTTCTTCCATCATGCCAGGGAAAGTGAACCCCACGCAGTGCGAGGCCTTGACCATGGTCTGTTCTCAGGTCATGGGGACTCCTGGTCTCTTGTTAAGGAGCTTTTTTGAAAGCGATTTAGGGTTTTGGGCTTTGGGTTTAGGGTTTGGGGTTTGCGGTTTGGGGTTTTGGGTCGAGGGTTTAGGGCATCTATAGTAAGGAGCATGCTGCCCTTACGGCTCTTGCCAAGGAGCTTTTTTCGAGTACGTATATGCGGGGTATCTATAGTAAGGAGCATGCTGTCCTGAGGATGGCTTAAACTAAGCGCCTCAGAACTATACCTTCCCGGAGCCTTCTCCAGTAGAATCGCAACTACCTCTTCAGGTGCCCGACAAGCCTTATAACAATCTGGAGAAACTGTTGATGATATAAATCCTGCATTACGTTAAGGACCCTAAACTATGGTATATTCCTTATGTTGGGTCATGCAGGATTTATATCATCAACCGAACCTTCAGGAATCATGTTGCCATTACGGTCGGCGGCTCAAACGGCCACTTCGAGCTCAACGTCTTCAAGCCCAGCATCATCAACGCGTTCCTGCAGTCTGCCAACATCCTCGGGGACGCCGCTACTTCGACCATGGACTTACTGGAAAACCCTAAACGCTCCAGCGGTATGGATCTGGTGTAAGGGCTCAACTGCCACTGCGAGGCTTCGGGCATTCTGCTTTAGAAGGGCGTTCGGGCCAGCTTCGGCTGTAGAGAACATTATCCACATATTTTCTGAGGCCAGATCAAGCCTCTAAGACTCTACCTATAGTCTCCATTGTAGTTCCTTTTGTTGGTTTAACCGACCTTATATGAAGGATCCTAAAAGGTAACCCCAAACAGGAACTACAATGGAGACTATGGGGAAGACCTAAGCCGCAAGCTCTAGTATTGCATGTATAGTACTGTCAAACCGCATGTCAGGTTGCCCCCAGACTCTTCGGCCAACAGGGGTTTGGGGGTTAAGGGTTTAGGATTTTGGGGGTTTAGGGGCTTAGGGGTTTAGGATTTTAGGGGCTCAAGGACTTAGAGGTTTTGGTTTAGGGTTAAGGGTAGCTGGAACAGTAATCAGTAAGGCTGCCTCCTTCTCCAAAAACTGCATGGAGGGCCTTGAGCCCAACCGCGATCGCAGCTCGTCTGTTTTCGGGGTTTTGGGTTTATGGTGTATTAGGGCTTATAGGTTACCCAAATCTATTACTATATCCTGTGGCCTCAAAGTACCTATGCAGGGCCACTTAGGGCCAAATTATATATTGTTTGGGCACATGGGCCCTTAAACGCCAAACACTGAAGCCCTTCTAGAGGCCTCAGGAACCCCGAAAGGCACCCTTTAAAGGCACATGGACCCTTGTGGTTAACAATGTACTGAACACTCGTTGCCCTGACCCTGACTGGGGGTGCTACGGTGTGGGGTTTAGGGGCCCGAAACCATACACAAATCTCAACAAGGATGCCCAACTAACCCCTGACCTGAACCTCGAACTGAAACCCTATGGCCCTACGGACGGCCCGAGGTCAATGCTGCAGCTGAATTCGAAGAAGGGTTCATGGGATTCATGCTTTGGGGTCTAGGGTTGCGGTGTAGGGTTGGGGTTCATGATTTTGCTGAACCCTAAGGGTCCATGTGCCCACATAGAGATACATGGGCCCCAATGTACCTATATAGGGACTACATTAAGGCCAATGTATATACTATATGAGTACATGGACCCTCAGGGGAAGGGTGTGCGTTAAGGGCTTAGACTGCTTTTGTGGTTCACCTCCCTAATGAGCAGAGGCATCTCCAAGCTGATGAACGAGAGCCTGATGCTTGTGCCTTGGTTGCAGCGTTTGCGGGGTTCTTGTTAAGAAAACTATGTTATGTTGCCATAGGGGAGTTTCCTAAAATTAGGGGTACCTTACTTGGGGGTCCTTATATTCATGATCCTACTATTGAGGGCACTATATTAGGGTCCCCTATTTTCGGAAACTCCCATATAGTGGGGATCTACAGTAACTAACCGGATTTCGTTAGAGTTCTGTTAACTGTGGAAGCCTACAGGTTCCGGTGGAGGACGGGAGTGTTGCACTTTTGCCCAAAGGGTCCTACTGTAGTAGCATTCTAGTAGGTGCTTAGTAGGTATTTGGGCCCCAAAAGTAATTGTATACTGTACTATTGCTTGGACACTTTGGGTTGGTGGAGGTGTTGCTGCATGCGCATAGGTCAGATCAGAGATTCGTAGTCGAACCCCATGAGCTTGGCAGGCATTTTCTGCATCCCGTCCTCAGAGAGCCGAAAATCTACAAACTAGGCGGGTGGAATTTGATTCAGAGGTCATAGACACTCTTGCGTAAGACCCCCGATAGTCCGAGGCATATGATTATAATCCCCGGTTGACGTTTTTGGGTCTTCCAGGTGACAGCTCTCAATCCTTACATCGGCTACGACAACGCAGCGGCAGCAGCCAAGAAGGCCTTGCCCGCATCGAACAAATTGGGGTTTAGGGTTGAGTGTTCAGGGTTTGGGGTTCAGGTTTTAGGGGGCGTTAACAATTAGAATCGCGGCTTTGGGGTATAGTATAGCAAAAAGTTTCCCAGTAATGGTACAGTATATAGTTTTGGGGCCCAAATACCTACTAAGTACCTACTATAATTGACACACACTAAAGAAGAACCCTGCGGACATATTGTTAATTGCTCAGGCTGCTACAGTAGCCAGGGTTTGGGTCGTTGGGCTTGTAGGGTTTTGGGGCTTGGGGTCAGGGCTAATCTTCTGCTCTGAATTGGAACGCGACTGAACGGTATCACGAAAAGCAGACAAGAGACGCACAGTTCGTAAACCCTGAACCCTAAAACAACAAAGCAATTTGTGTTCTAAAATGCTCTACTCTACGTGTCCATGTGCCTCTTAGAGACTATACTCAGGCCGGCAAGGGGGGGGGGGTCCTATATAGGTACCTCAGTACCACAGACTATATATGCGCGCAACATAGACTGAAAGGGTACATGGAATCTTTGGGGTGGAGTGTTCGGGGCTAGAGGGTTTATTGTTTAGCACACGATGAAAAGAACATCGATGATGTTTCTTATTTACACTGCCGACAGCATTGAACCATTGGCAAAAGCGCTTAGTGTTCTGCCAAGGGTTTTTCCCCAAGCCGGCAAGCCCTAAAGACCCGGAAGACCTAACATATTTCCTTGGTCTCAACAAGCTCGCAAACTTCTCCCCACCCCTCCATGTCGAGAGGTGCTCAACCCCAAAACCCAAAGACGCTACCCCAAAGCTCCTGGCTAACACCCCCTAACCCCCAACATCCCAAAACACTAGAACGCTTAAGCTCTCAAGCCTCAACGCACCAAAAACGAAAGCCTGACAGCCTAAAGCCTGAAGCCCTAAACCCTATGGAATCAAGCCCCCAAAGCCTGAAAACCTCATAAATTATACCTTCAGGCCTAAAGCCCCAGACCCCTTCAAAAAGCCCCGACCCCTAAGGCCCGAAAGCCCTAACAAGAAGCTTCAGAGCCTTAAAGCCTAAGTCTTAAACCCTTAACCGAAACCCTAAACTCTGAAGCCCTAAAGCCCTAATCAAGAAGTCAAATAACCATCAATGATATTCTTGGGGTTGCCTATTATAGTTTTACTATAAAGGAGTACAAAACTCTATTCTAGTTATGAAGGCCCCTACCTTATAGTACCCTTATAGATCTCTTATAGTAACCCTTATCGTCCCCTCTACAAAGGAACCCTACTTGGAGGATCATGGGACTTAGTAGGTAAGGTTATAAATACCTTAATTGGGGCTATAAGTATAGTCACCCGAGCAAAAACTTTATTTATTAAGTCCCATGATCCTTGAACCCTGACCCCCCGCCCCCCCCCCCACCCCCCCAAGGATCCCTTGTAGATCCTTTTAAGGAATCCTTTAAGGAACCCTCTAAGTTACTAAGTCCCATGATCCTGTAAGTATTCTATTCTTTTAAGGCCCCCTGCGTTACAGCTCTCAGCGAGGCTCACAAGGAGGGCACCTCGCTGAAGGAGGCCGCCATGGCCCTGCAGTTGCTCAGCTCCGAGGACGGGTTTACGGCCGAGGGGTTAGGGGTTTAGCGTTTAGGGGTTTAGGGCCTTAGGGTTAGGGGTTTAGGGTTTGGGGGTGTAGGGCCTTAGGGTTAGGGGTTTAGGGTTTAGGGTGAGGGGTTTAGGGTATGAGGGTTAGGGGTTTAGGGTTTAGGGTATGAGGGTTAGGATGGTTGAGGGCTGAGGCTTAGGGGCCTCGGGTTTAGAGTCGAGGATTTAACGTTGAGGCTGAGGGTTCATAAGGGTTTAGGTTTGAGAGTTTATGTGGGGTTTAGGATATAGGGTTAATGCTTCCGGGCTTGGGGCGCTAGCAGCTACAGGACCCAATAGGCACTTGTGTCAGGGTCGTTGTAATGCAGGTTAATTTGACATTTGGGCGCGCACATGTTTTCTAGCTACTCGGACTATTAAAAGATGTGTTGAGGGTTGAGTGCATGGTTGTGAGCTCAGGGGCCGCGACTCACAACTGACAGACAGGGTTGAAAGCAGTTTGTTGCGAATGGGCTGCAGTGATGAGGGATGTCTTGAGTTCATAGAACGGATTCTCGGCATACGCTCGGGACCCTTGAAGGTTTCAAGGTGGCGCATGGATGAAAGGCCTGCACCTTGTTTGAAGTCCTCTTCCAGGGACGTACTGTGGTTAGTGGCACCGCATGAGGGAACTCTGTACGACAGCTCTGGTTTACGGTTGTACTTTCAGGGATGTGGTGGCCTTTATGGCCAAGTGCCTACATCCTCGGCAACACTTATCGTCACGACCAGAAATAGCCGTTAAAACAACTCTTTGTGCCTGAGACTTCAATTTTGTTTTGCCCTAGCTGGCGAGCTGGTCCGATTCTCGGTAGGACCCGTCTGCAGCTGCAGGGTGTAACAGCAGCCCTGAACCCTGAAATAGCTCTTATTTCAACCAGGTTTGGGCCCGGGACCAAGACCCCCTACAGTGAGAGCATCCTAGATGTCAGAGCCCCGAGATAGTAGGATTCCTTCCAGCAGCCCTATTCTCACGTGCGTTTAAAACAACCATACAAGCATTGCCCTAAGGGCCTACATATGCGGCAATGTGCCCGTTTAGCACATATTCTGGCCATAGAGTACGCACGTAACAACCCTTATAAGGCTTAAGATATACACTATATGTACATGGACCCTTTGCATCACAGCGCATCGGAGAGGACTTCGACAAATGGGTCCGCCCTGATCAGATGATAGGGCCATCCGAGTACAAGAAGTGAGCATTGCTTTCTTTCCTGAAGGATTTTCGGGTGTTGGTTGCAAAGCCATACTCGTAGCTCCGAATGCAGAGGCCCTCTTCGCAAAAATGAGGACCGCTTAGAGGTTGTTGTTTCTCTCATGGACCTGTAGGCTCTTGTGTGTCTGAGCACTGAAGCTGCATGACGCCTTTGCAACTCTACTTGTTGCGAGGGTGCCGCTTTTGTTTTCCGTACAGATATTTGAGCAGAGTCCCGCTCGATGGCCAGGCTCGGCATAGATGCCTGTGCGAGATGTACTCGACGACGTTTTGGTGATCAAGTTCCTGTTCCTATGGACCCCCAGCTACCCTCCATTAATTACACCCGAAGCACCCCCTATTTAGGACCATAAGGGATCTATTCAAGGGCATTCGGGGGGTCCTGGTTAAATCAATTTTGTTGAGCCAGAAAGTGGAGGCTCGTAGAACTTTTGAGTTGCGTACAGTTTGCTTTTGTTTTGCACAGGCCAGGATCGTGATTTGTAACAAATCTGTAATCGAAGAATGGCCTTGTGACCAGGATGCGCATATCGCTCCGCCACTGTGACACAAAAGTCAGAGGGAGCTCCAAGACGTATCCCCAAACCCTAGGCTGAAAACCAGAAATGCTAAACTCTGAAACCCTCAACCGCAAAATCCTGAATCCTAGTCCCAACAACAGAGCCGTATAATCTGCTAAAATCTCCAAAGACCGTAAGCGGCTAAGGGGCTGGGGCATGTCTTTAGTGGCAACAGGACTTGAACCCCCGCTCTGTAGATCCGAGCCCTTTTCTGTGCAGGCTTCAATTCAAGCGTTCAGCATTTTCTGTACATAGGATTCGGCATTCAGGGTTTGGGATTTAAAGTAGGCTTGTAGGGCTTCGGGGTTTAGGGCTTAGAGGATAGGGCTTACGGTCCTCAACCAGGCCGTCATTGAGCCGGATGCAGTTTACTCCAAATGGCCCCAGCTGAAGATGGCTGTGCGTCCCTGAGATGGTTGGGTTCTTGATACGGACATGGCGTTTAAACTTGAACCAGCTTACCATGTTCTGAGGTACTATATACGTACTTGGACCCTTAGGGTACGATCTTGAACCGGTTTACCATGAGAAGGAAGCAGTTTAATTTACCACAACTCCTTATAACTGAGTAATGTAAGGCAAGCCACGCTTCTTCAACCGTATAAGGAGCAGGTTGGAGGAAGCTCCCTACCTAGAGGCTCCATAGTAGTTCGTTTTTGTGGTTCGTATTTAGGAACCTATAAGGTAGTCCCAAAAAGGAGCTGCAATGGAGCTTATCCCTAAGGGTCCATGTACTCATATAGTATATACATTGGCCTTCATGTAGTCCCTATATAGGTACATTGGGGCCCATGCATCTCTATATGAGTACATGGACCCTTAGGGAATACTATTTTGGGGAGTTCCTCATCAAAATTACGGTATAATGGCCCCCAAAACCCCAGTACCCTAAACCCCAGTACCCTAAACCCTAAACCCCAGTACCCTAAACCCCAGTACCCTAAACCCTAAACCCTCAGGGCAGAGCCAGAACCCGAGCCCCCCGAACGAAGGTCCAAATGCTGGGTCGCGTGCCCGAGGGCCCGGCAAAGAAGAACTTCGAGAATCAGGCCCCTGGGCTCCGACTTCTTGGCTTTAGGGTTTAGGGTTTAGGGTGTAAGGTTTAGGGTTTAGGGTTTAGGGTGTAAGGTTTAGGGTTTAGGGTTTAGGGTTTAGGGTGTAAGGTTTAGGGTGTAAGAATCAGGCCCCCGTTGGGCTCTACCTGGGTTCTTGGCTTTAGGGTTTAGGCTGTATAAGGTTTAGGGTTTAGGGTGTAAGGTTTAGGATAGGCCCCCCGTTTAGGGTCTAGGGGTTTAGGGATCTGGAGTCGGGGTTTAGGGGCTTTGGGGGGTTTAGAATTTACAGGTTTAGGGTTCAGGGGTTCAGGGAGTTTACAGTTCAGTGCAAGGGTTTAGGGGTTTAGGGGTTCTGTGGTCTAAGGGTCTAGGGGTTTCAGGCTTCGAGTTTAGGACTTAGGGTTTTTGGTTTGGCGTCCTTGGGCTTTCTCCTTGGCTCTAAGGGTCCATGTGGTTAAATGCGATATACTTAGGCTACGCAGGGTTCTCCTTCGGACTGCAGCTTTTGGTGATATATGAGTTGTGCACTTGGGTTTAGGCTTGGGATTTCAGCAGTTAAAATGGGGTTCACATTTTCCGGACCATTCAGAACTGCCGTGGAAGACAGTTCACGGCTTGTGCATGCAATGTACATTGCAGGGCCCTTAACCCCAAAACCGAAGCGGGTAGCCTAGTCGTGTCCTTATGCTCCGAGCAGACAGAAGTCCGGATGGCAGCCACTACAAGAATGACCGAACCCAAAGCCCGAAACCTTGCACCCGAAACCCTCCAAAACCTTTAACCTTGAACCCTAAACGCTTCTACAGGCGGCTTTTGCTAATTTCGGCTTGGGCTTATGGCTTCAGAGGGGTTTAAGAATTAGGGTTGAGGGTGTAGGGGAGGCTGCATAATCTGGGGCATCTCCGGGTTCGTCTTGGTTTAGGGTAGGAAACGGCACCTTGTATCTAGGCAAGTCGTTCTTTATGCACCCCTCCAAAAAAACATATTTTTCTGCAAAATCAAAACCCCTGGGCCTAAACCTGCCACATGGACTCTCAGAAAAACACCAGAGCAAGAGAGGAAGATAGAGTCAGAGAGAGAGAGAGAGAGAGAGAGAGAGAGAGAGAGTCTGTTTCTGCAGGTGCTGGCCGCCGCAAAGTCCCTTCAGGCGCTGCAAATCGTAATGAAGGGTAGCAGGCTTTCCGAGCTTCTTGTTACAGGCCTTGTGACACAGGGCTTGAAGGTATTCGGGTTTGTGGATTAGGAATTCAGGGTGCCGGGGTTTATGCGAAATAACGGCTCAGATCTAGGGTATCTTCGGTGTAGAATCTTAGGGATCGGAATCAGAGGTATGACTTGCACTTGCAGTGCCTGGAGCCGTAGCAAAAAGGTACAGTAGCCGCGAGATTAGGATCCCCCTCGCCCGAAACCGCAGACGGCACACGTTCAACCCAAAGCCAAGCCAAATTGCCATCCCTTAACTCTCAAACTTACCCTAAGCGTCCATGTACCTATATATGTAGAGATACATGCGCCCCAATGTACCTATATAGGGACTACATTAAGGCCAATGTATATAGCTATATGAGTACATGGACCCTTATACCCTAAACCCTTATAGAACCCTTATGGATCCCTTAAAGGAACTCCTCCTGGTACCCTTCAAGGAACCCTATTTGGGGGCCAAAGTAGTTAAGCCGGAGACTCGGACGGCTCTGCCAAGAAAGAGTTTCCTGGCCTCATTTAAACCCTAAACCCTAACCCTTGGGGTTTAGGGATTAGGGTTTAGGGGTTAGGGTTTAGGTTTCGGGTTTAGAGTTTATAGTAGAAGCCAGAAAGTTGGAACATGGCTGTAGGAGGATTAGTGCTAGGATCCCTTATACTTTACCTTAAGGGCATGGGGATAATGATGTTCCAACTTTCTGGCATCTGCTATAATTAAGCCCAAACCCTAAACCCTAAACCCTAACCCTTCAAGAATTCCTAAACCCTTGAACTCCAAACCCTACACAACTCCGAGCATGCTGAACCCCTGTGGCCCCTGTATGATCCCTTTGCTTGGAGTTCCGAGCCATCACAGGGAACCCTATTCTAGAAGACTATGGTACCCTTTAAATATTGGGGCCGTATTATCGAGCCCAGAAGTACCCGGCAAAGGGGACCCCATTCTAGAACCCTGTGGCCCATGGCACCCTTAAAGGGGGACTTGACTTTTGAACCCTATAGTACCCTTAATAAAGAGGACCCTATTATGGAACCCTGTGGTACCCTTCATTTAAAGCTAAGGCACAAAACGCTAAATCTCCAGGCTGTGAAGGATGGCTTCGCAAATCAGTGCCAGAGCAAGGTCAGTGAGGCACCGCCGGCTTCTGGTGGGTTTAGGGTTTAGGGTTTACGATTTGGGGCTTCGGGTTTCAGGGTTCAGGGGCAGCCGACTGCAGCGGCTAAGGTGTGAGGACATGATGGCCAGTGACATCTGCTAGCTGATGCGGCTGTTCTGCTGTCGTTGGCCGTGTTTGATCATGCCAAGCATTGCTATAGGTCTCACAAGAGTCCCCTTCTGCCTGTCAATACAGAGCCTTCGGCCCAAACCCGAAAGCCAAACATACTTCTCAACGGAACATCTTCAGCTCCAACGGTCAGTTCACTCCGAACAAGTGTATACATTATCGCGCAATTCTACGCATGTATGCACCTATACATGGATACATACATACCCATAGGCTCCATAGTGGTTCCCCTTCTGGGACTACCTTATAGGTTCCTAAATATGAACCACAACAAGGAACTACCATGGAGCCTCTACGTACATACAGCTATTATACATACGTACGTAGGAGCACACCGGCCATGTGGCCATCCTGCGGCCCAATTCTCAAAGGGGAAAAGGAGGGACCCTTAATTGGGACCCCTACCCTATAATGGGCTATATATGTGCCAGCATCCGCCGACCCCCCCCCCTCCCCCCCCCCCATGGTAATCCCCTTCCCCCCCCCCCCTGTGGTTCCTGTGGTTCCCCCCCCCCCCTGTGGTTCCTCTTGGTTTTCCCCCTCCCTTTTGTGGTTCTTCTGGTTCCTGTCTCCCCCCTCCCCCCCTGTGGTTCCTGTGGTTCCTCCGCGTGGTTGCTGCTGCTTTGTTGTTGCTGCTGTTCTTCTTCTTGTTCTTGTTCTTGTTCTTGTTCTTGTTGTGTGGTCGCCGGGCTCGGGGGGGGGGGATACCATTGGGGGGGGGGGGGGGGGTCGAGAACGCGGAGCGCGGGCACATATAAATGGGTATATAATAGCTATATTAAGGGTATATGGGGTCCCTTATTAAGGGTCCCTCCTTTTACCCTTGGACATTCTGCGCTAGGCCTATGTCAAAGTAGCCAGGCCGTCAGATGCCTTGGC